TCAGGTGTGATTTTGACCCATTCCTCCACATAAACAGTCTTCAAATCTTGAAGGTTCCGTGGGCCTCTTCTATGAACTCTGATCTTAGTTCTTTCCTTAGATTTTCTATTGGATTCAAGTCGGGTGTATTGGCTGGACCATTCTAGCAGCTTTATTTCCTTTCCTTGAAACTAATTGAGAGTTTCCTTGGCTTTGTGTTTGGGATCATTGTCTTGCTGAAATATCCTCCCTCGTTTCATCTTCATCATCCTGGTAGATGGCAGCAGATTTTTGTCAAGAATGTCTTGGTACATTTTTCTATCCATGCTTCCTTCAATGATATAAAGTTTGCCAGTACCATGTGCTTAAAAACAGCCCCACACCATGATGTTCCCACCTCCAACCTTCACTGTTTGTATGGTGTTTTTTGGGGTGATGTGCAGTGCCATTTGACCTCAAAACATGGTGTGTGCTATGGCATCCAAAGAGTTAAATTTTGGTCTCATCTGACAGACTATATTCTCCCAGTATTTCGCAGGCTTGTCTAAATGTTCTGCAGGAAACGTTAAACTAGCTTCAACATGCTTTTTTTTTTTCAGCAATGAAGTCTTGCATGGTGAGCGTGCATACAGGCCATGGCCGTTGAGTGCATTACTTATTTTCTTTGAAACAATTGTACCTGCTAATTCAATGTCTTTCTGAAGCTCTCCACAAGTGGTCTTTGGTTCTTGGAAAACTATTCTGATAATTCTTTTCACTCCTCTATCAGAATTCTTGCGAGGAGCACCTGGTCGTGGCCAGTTTATGGCTCAAATGAGCACCTGCCAAACTATTGTCAACTACTGTGCAACTCCTGGCAGGTCCTGCTGCAGGCAGGTCTCCAATGCACTGTCCTTGGTTGTGCTGGTGGTTCCCAGTACTTCCTGGTTGGTGTGGATCCACAGGGCAGGTGGGAATTATGTCAAATCCAGATACAGCAGCAGTAGGTGTGGCACGTGTTCTGAGCATCCATGCTCCTTTATCAGGCCATCTGATGAAAGAGCATGCATGCTCCAAACGCATGCCAAGATGGCCTGATGAAGGAGCATGCATGCTCTGAATGCGTGGTGTGCCTACTGCTGCTGTACCTGGATTTAGATCTTTGTATGATTAGATTGCATGTGGTGAAAATGTAATGTCCATAGCACCTTTAGAAATACATTTAACTAGAAAAATAGTGATGTGTTCAATGCTTATATTACCTTCTGTATATTGCCCTTCAGGGTGACCTGTAGCTAATAGTCACAATTATCATGTTCCCCGACTCCATTTTTGGGCTCTGGAGAGAGTCCATCTGGATCCCAGGGGTGGGGATTGGAACAAGCAATTGTTATAGAGTAAGACTCAGTGGATCTACAATCTCAGAGCCACAGACCCTCCAGGTCTTAATGAGATGCTACGTTTTAAGCCCTTTTTGGAGGGCTTTGTTTCGGGGAGGTGTGAACATCTTATGTAGTCATGGTCCCTCCCATTAGCTATTTATTTATTTTTGGATTGGTATTTTTAAGATTCACTGTTACACAAGAATTTTTGTAAAGGTATAGTGCCTTCTTCCATTTCTTTTTCTACACTTAGAACCCGTTTTTCTTTTATTTGGTTTTTGCACATTTCTGGATTGCACCAGGCATGCGTGGCCTCTTCCTTCTTGGTTCCTGGTTTCCTGTCATGGAGGGGGTATTATTGTCCCACATTGTTAGGTGACACCTTTGTGTTTCATCTTGCTTGGGCCCTTTCCGGTGCCCCGACTCCTGGTGTCCCCTGGCAGGTGCCTAGCACCTTTTCCAACATGGCCACAAATGTCTTTCTGTGCATGTCCAGAAGTGAAGATTGTCACTCTGCACATGATGTCATGGTGGGTGATGTGTGCCCTTTGGAGTGGAAACTGTAGGGGATACACAGGGGACAATGTTCTCTCTGTCTATCCAGGTGTCTTGTTGTTTTTCGTGGGAGTTTTTGCTGCCATTAGCACCCCTGCCATTGGCTGCTATATATCATTTGACTCTGGCCATAATTATTTATAAGGCTTTTGAGTATGTTTGTGCTTTTCATTCTTCATCATCACCTGTGACAATGCACGTGATCTTTGTCCCCCTAATTTCTGGTAAGCCCTTATGGGGTATACTTCTTTTTTCTTTTGGTTTTTAATTTTGTGCCCTTTCGGGCTTTAATATATAATTCCATAATTCCTTGTTGCCTAGGCCCTTTGGAACGCCTTGTTTGTTTGTGGAATCCCTGCGTATAATCCCTTCTGTGGACCATCTCTATTCAACTGTTGCAGTGGGGGCCCACTCATTGAGTAAATCCCTCTTTTTATTGAATGATTCAGTATGTCTGGAACTATAGACACTGTTTCCTTTTTTGGGGTGTTTGGTTATGTATCAGCAAGATATACTTAATTTGGCTGTTAAATATATTTTCTATTTTTGACAGGTCTATTTTGGTATCACTATGTATTTTTATGGACATTTCTTTAGACATTTTTTTCATGTATTCACATAGATATTGAGTCACTGTTTTTGCATGTTATAATTGAGTACACCTATGCCTTTATTTTATTATTGATTTTTGTATATTTGCACCAATATAGATGAAATTTTCTTTGATACCCCAAGAGGTATATATTGAGTGAGGAGCACTGTCGCAATTGATTAATTATTCTATTTTGCAATTGGGCAGTCTATTTTATTTCCCTTGTGAAATCCTTGGCATCTTTTGACATAATCTGCATTGAAGGTGCTCAACCTATCATATATGTTCTTTGATACACAGCTGTTTGATGTGATATCATATTGTGCTCTAGTTCATTTCTTTGTCTCTATATTTATGATGAGTATTGATGTATACCTATATAGAAATAGCGACTATGAAGAAGACATGCTGTTCGCAAGCTGAAGAGCATTGGGATTTATATCTGTACAGCTGGCACTCCTTCCATAGTACCAGAGACTTGGTTTAAGTCAGTGTTTCTCAACTCCAGTCCTCATGGACCCCCAACAGGTCATGCTTTCAGGATTTCCCTCAGATGAAACAGCTGTGGTAATTACTAAGGCAGTGAAACTGATCAAATCACCTGTGCAAAATAATGGAAATCCTGAAAACATGACCTGTTGGGGGTCCATGAGGACTGGAGTTGAGAAACACTGGTTTAAGTGATGGTTAACAAAAAAAAAATTCCATGTGTTTTTAATTTTGTATATGTATGTCATTTCGGGTCCATGTACTGTAGCCCACAGGGTGATCTTTATTATGATGTTAATAACAGTTTTGTATCTTTTATCAAACATATTTTGTGCTTATATCAGGTGCTTCAAAGTCCCAGTATTTTCCCCCTTTCCAAAACGTTACTATTGAGTTAGGATGTAGCACCACAATTTTTGGGATGAGTGTAGGAATGTGCATTTATAATAGGAATGGATCCAGTTGAGTTTTATGAACTTTCAGAATGTATTTCTAAAGTACATAATCTGTGGATTTAAAACATTCTTTTTTTTTATCTTGGCTAGAGTGATCAGGTTCTAATGAAGGTGTGTCACCTTCTGTCATGCAATTTCTGGCAAAGTAAAGTTTAATTGTGAAATCTGGCACCTTTTCCCCTCTCTACCTCCTCCCTGTTCACCAATCCATTTCACTCAGGACTCCTGTCTCCAGTCAGCCATCAGAGCTGCAATCTAATAGCATTTCTTGAACTTTGGCTGCATCTGAACAGTTAGGTAGTAATAAACACTAGAGAAAATAAAAGTGTTCATAAATCAATTACTAACAGATCAGCAGAGGTGACTTCAGGGAGAAGAGGAGACTGGAGACACAGCTGAGCCACTGAGAGCCTGGGACAAGGACGAATCTACCAGACTGGCTGGAGGAAATCACACCTGATGTGAAGGGTCTTACACTGGATGGTATTTACTACTCACATTTATTATTCTTTTATATATATATATATATATATATATATATATATATATATAGAGCATAACATACTACACAGCAAATGAATATGCTTTGACCTAATAATTTTTAGAATGGCAAATTATTTAAATATAGCTGCAGCACTGTATGAGCAGACTAACTAAACTGAGTACTGCTACTACTTATACTATTCTACTAGAGAGTTTCAATAGCATGCTATTTTTTCTATTATGGCCACAAGTGAGCAATATCACTGATGCTTTAGGGCTCTTTCACACTGATCAATTTTTGATGCACATCCTGTGTAAAAAAAGAACAAAAATGCATGAAAAATGTTTCCCTTTAAGTCCTCATGCACACTGGACATTTTTACAGCGGCTGTTTTTGGCTTTTAATGTTTTTTTCTAGAGCCAGTAAACTCCCCAGCATGTTGCCCTATGTGTTCATGCATACTTAGACTGTAATCAATGTTTTTTGGCTGGATATAAAGCAGGACTAGTGGGTTTCTAGAGGAGTTTTTTTAGCTGTAAAAATGCTCTAACACTGAAAAACGCGGCAAAACGCCGCAAACTGGTGTTTTTGGATAGTTTTTGGTCAAAAACGGCTAAAAACACAAACATGGAAAAACTGTCGCTATACGCTAATGCAGAGACACTAAACAAAAGCTGAAAAACTCACATTTTTAACGTGACTTTACACAGCTGACGTTACCAGCGTTATCAAAACGCCCCGTGTGCATGGAGCCTAAAGCTTCTAGAACTCCTACAGGGCACTTATACCCCCTTCCTGACCAGGCCAGTTTTCAGCGCTGTCGTACTTTGAATGACAATTGCGCGGTCATGCAACACTGTACCCATATGAAAAATTTTTATCATTTTTTTGAGACAGATAGAGCTTTCTTTTGGTGGTATTTTATTCAGGGTTTTTTTTATTTTTTGCTAAACAAACCAAAAACAACTGAAAATTTTGAAAAAAAAAGTTTTTTCTTTGTTTTTGTTATAACATTTTGTAAGTAAGTGATTTTTTTCCTTCACTGATGTGCGCTAATGAGGCTGCAGTGATGGGCACTGATGGGCACTGATAGGTGACACTGATGGGCACTGATGAGAAGGCACTAGTAGGTGGCACTGATGGGCATTGACAGGCATCACTGATGGGCACTGAAAGGCAGCACTCATATATGGCACTGATAGGCGGCACTGATAGGGTGCAGAGACTGGCACTGATAGGGTGCAGAGACTGGCACTGTTAGGCGGCCGTGACTAGCACTGTTAGGCAGCACTGATGAGCATTGATAGGTGACAGTGAAAGGCTGCTCAGGTGGGCACTGATATATGGCATTGATGTGCAATGGTAGGCACTGATATGTGGTATTGATGAGGCACTGATGGGCACTGTAAGGTGGCATTGATGGGCAATGACAACTGGCATTGATGGGCACTGACAGGTGGCACTGCTGGGGCTACACTGATCGTCAGGGCACACTGATCATCATGAATGAAAAACACATAAAAAATGCATTGAAGTTGCATTTTTGGTGCATTTTTATTTTATCAGTTTTTGATACGTTTTTCCGTTAAAAGGGGAGAAGAAAAATGCCTCCTTTAAATCCCAGGGATCTCTTCACACCACTCAGTTGCATTTTTAAAAGTCCTGCTTGCTGCATTTTTTGGTGTATTTGGTGCATGTTTAAAAAAAAAAAAACAACCAAAAAACATACCTACCCATTGAAATTAATGGAAAACGCATCAAAAACGATTTTGTTTTTTGTGACTTTTTTTTTTTGTCACATGTCACAAGTTTCAAAGGTAATAGGCACCCAGAAAACACGGCAAAAAATGCATATGTAATTTTATCGCGGTTTTGCAGTGGAGCAGTGTGAAAGTAGCTATGTTTCACAGGTGCATGATTGGAGTCAGGCAACCAGAGAACGCACCAAATACGCATATGTGTTTTTGATGAGTTTTTGCAATGAAGCTGTGTGAAAGGGCCCTGAGGAGAATTTAAAGTAAACCTTCCTATGCAGAAACAGAGAGACTACCATTGCTCATCTGCTTCTGAAAATGCTATTTGCCTGGCTGTTACACTAATCCAGTGGCTTCAGTACTTTGTGTTCACTGATCCAGAAAAAATATGAAGAACTGGAAAGGCAGAAAACCTTTTCGACATGCTTTCTCTAATTTATTCATCCAAAGTATTGAACAGCGAGCATCAGAATTAAAGTCAAGCAACTAGCATTTGCAGAAAATGAAGTGCATAATGCAGCCTACATTTAAAGCCTCATTGGCATAAACATACTGGGCCGTGTTTGCCTGCAAAGGATGCCTTGGTGTTCCATGTATCCATGTGTAGGCATACCAATTGGGATTCAGAGACTGCACTGACACAGCCACTGCTCCTCTTTTGACATCTGTGTGGATGCTTGTGTGTTTTTAAACTCATACTGTCTGCATTCGGAGACACGCACCCTCATTCACACACATGTCAATTTGTGAGCAGCTGCTGTGTCCATTGCAGTCAATGCATCCCAATTGAAACCCCCCTGCTTGCACACAGAACACTTGTGCATCCTGTAAAGGCAAACATGCACAGATGTACTCTTAAGTAGTCCTAAGGCTCCATACACTAGCATTTTTTTTAAGCTCAAAAAACCCTGGAAAAACCACTGGTAATAACGTTTTTAACCTCCCTAGCGGTATTCCCGAGTGTAGCTCGGGGTAAAATGTCTGTACCAAAAGCGGTAACCCTGAGCTACACTCGAGCTTACCATGCGGCGCTGCATAGGGAGTCCCTGCAGAGCTTACCTTGTCCTTCGCTCCCGCGATGTGTCCCCTGCAGCATCCCCGGCCATCTCCTCCGGCTGATGCCGGCATCCGGCTTCTGTGTTCCGGTCCCTGTGACGTCGGGACGTACGGGCGCCGCCGGCGGCGGGAAATTTGAAAATTTTAAAAAAATTTCATTTTTTTCCAAAACGATTTTACATAGTAAAACATTGCTGTTTCAACCCATTTCACATACATATTGTCCCTAGTGCTTTGTCCTGTGCCCTGCCTGCATTTTGAATGTTCTTTCTGCCTGGAAACTTAGAAAAGTCCATGGCGTCCAATAAGTGTCCCTTTAGGTCAAAAGCGGGTTTAGATCAGCTAGAGAACAGCGATAGTAAATCAGAACCACTTGCAGAATTGAGTGATGATTTGTATGGCAATTCGTCGTCAGACACTGAAAAAGATTTTGCGACTTTGCTCAGTGATGTGTGAACTTGGCGCTATATTTCAAATTTCAGTGTTTTTGGTTTGATTATATTATTGAACTAAATGTATTATTATTATATTATTTTTTATGATTATTTATTAAATTATAATTTATGATCTTGTGTTTCAAATTTTATCATACCCGGGATGTTTAATAGACTCTTGTTCATACAGATTTCAGTGAGTTATTCCTAAATATTACAGCCTACAATAAAAAAAACTACATATTTCCATGCAAAATAATGGTACCACTTTCAGCACCAAAAATCTGAAATAATCATACCGCTAGGGAGGTTAATTAGCATTTTAGTAGCGTTTGGAAGCGTTTAGGAGCTTTAGTGTTTTATTAGCATTTTTACAGTACATGTAGGGAAAAAAGAAAGCTAGAAAAAAGCTGTTAGTAGCATTTTGGCAGTGTTTAGGAGCGTTCAGCGTTTTTTTTTATGCTGGAAAAATGCTCCAAAACTCTAAAATCTATTTTTGTTCAGTTCCTAGAAGCTGAAGCTCAAAAAACACTAATAGCATAGAGTAGTGTGCATTGGCACATAGAATAATACTATTTAGCTTCTAGGAGCAGAAAAAATGCTAATAACAGCTTCTAGGAGCTTAAAAAAAATGATAGTGTGCATGGAGCCTAAGGCTCCATGTACACAGGATACTTCTGAATGATAGAAACTGACTGCTGGAAAATGTAAGTTAAAAAATGTCTGTTTAGCTGAGTTTGCATAAAGTGTTTATGCGCATTTGCGTTTAGAAGCGTTTTTTTTTAAAGATAAGCACAGGAGAACCTCCCAAATGCCCAGAATGCACTGAAAAGTGGTAAATTATTAACTATTTCAGACTGTTTCAGAGAAATACAGAGAGTAGAAGCAGAGGCAGCAGTATGTGTTGAAATTAGCTTAGGTGTGAGTTGCTCATTAACATTTCTTTTGTTTCCAAGGGTGGGAAGGTGTCTGGGGGAGTGAGTCATTATGGCCACCTGGCAGGGGGCTTCATGAGGAATTTGAGGTGTGAATGGTCATTAGCATATGTTTTGTTTCCAAGGGTGGGAGAGGTCTGAGGTGTGAATTGGCCATTACAATGTGTGATAAGCTTGGTAGGAACATCCTGTGTTCAGTGTTTTATCCATCTGAGTACCTTGAAAACGCTTGGCATGCATTTTTCATGATGAAAAAAGGCTCTGGACAGCATCGGGAACTGGAAGAGTTAAAAACATTTTCAGACACAAATGCTTATAAACGCAATTTGCTGAATTTAGCCGCATTTAAAAGCGTTTACAAGCATTTTGCGTTTGAAACGCTGATAAAATCGACTGCTGAACGCAAGCTTTCTGTGCATTTAAAAGCGTTTACAAGCATTTTGCGTTTGAAACGCTGATAAAAAATCGACTGCTGAACGCAAGCTTTCTGCGTTCAAAAAATGACTGTAAACTCAAATGTCTGTAAACGAAGATGTGTACATGGACACATAGGAACACATTAGGGAGAGTTCAGGGGTTGCTGAAAAAAAATGCTGAACAGCTCCTAAACGTGAGTTTATCAGCTGCAGTGTACATGAGCCCAGGGGCGGACTGACAACTCATGGGGCCCCCAGGCAATAGGGGATCATGGAGCCCCTGTGTCCTTGCCCAAACTCAAAAAAGCCTAAAAAAAAGGTACCAGGGGTATTTCATGGGGCCCCCTACAGACCCCGGGCCCTTGGGCAGTGCCCGAGTGCTCGAATGGTCAGTCCGCCCCTGCATGAGCCCTTAGGGTTTCGACTGTGAGAGACCCAGGAGAATGATACACCCAGAATAGCCAGTTTGCCGGTGAACTTTACATGAAGATTTTCGGTATCAGAATGGCACTTAGTGTTGCAGACAGCAGGAAAGAGGAGTATGTACATTCTTTTTTCACAGGTATGGCTTGGTTTAAAAATATTAGTATAGCAACAGGATTGCTTTAATGCTTGCCACACGCACAGCATTTATTATCTGGCTACAGCAACCACTTTCTGACAGCTTTCTATTAAAAAAATAAACTGATAAATGACGACAGCCTGTCACTAACACTTTAAATCAGGGGTGTCAAACTCAATTTCATCATGGGCTGCATCAGCATTAAGGCTAGGTTCACATCTCCACATTCCTGCAGGCCACATTTTGCGTGGACACGAGAGCCCATTCGTCTGCCCCATGACACGTAGGAAAGAAGTTCCTGCACTTCTTTGGAAAACGAGTCTGCTAGTACTGTTGCGATTTCCAGTGCAGGAGTCATGCCATTAGAATTAATGGCACCCGCCCGCGGGTCCGCATTCCTCTGTGCGGGTGGTGCGGCTGCACTGATTTTTGTGCGGATCCGCAGTGGCACCACCCGCACAGATGTGAACCAGGAGTATGGTTGCCCTCAAAGGGTCAGTTGTATCTGTAAGACTATATAAATGTATCTAGTCTTTATCATATTAAATCTTTGCATTTGATTATTACTGGTTTTAGTAATAACTTAAGACTCAAGCTGTTATGGGCAGGTGCAGACCGGCACAAAGCCCACTCACACTCCTGTAGCAGATGATGAAAGTCTGAAAAGGTGGTGTTTTAGTCGAGGACTTAATTGTCCAGTGCTTATCTGTTCCTGTCCTAATTTATGACGGTAGCTTTGGAATGTGCGCACACTGGAAGAAACTCACGCTGACACACAAGTTCAGTCTATGAATACTTCTAGTTTATTATAATGAGAAAGTGAGCTTATATATGCAGAATGATGCGAGAGTCATGTGACAACAGCATAAGCTTTATATTAGTCTTTGATTGGTCATTTCCACACGAAAACAATCTCCGTCATGGTATAGGTGTGATCTTCTTCCGCCTTATCTTAAAGAGAGAAAAACATTCCTTTGTTTCCCAAATCACACGGTGGGAGGGGGTCGGTGTGTGTGAGCAGACATTTCATAAGCAAGGATTTCTTATAGTACCACAAAGCCCAGCAGGCAGAAAAATATTCACACAACATATGTATTAAAGTATAAAAGTAAATATTTATAAAACTTATAGAAATAGTGTATATATATATTCAATAGGAAACGAAATAGGCATTTTACCAAATCCATCACAGTGGGTCGCATACCGCTGGTATCATATCGCAAGAAACTTTATTGGAGACAGCTCAGATAGAACATAGTTCTGCCATGGTGTTCTGTCTGGGCAGTCTCCAATAAAGTTTCTTGTGGATGATTCCAGCGGTGTGCAACCCTCCTTTTCAACTGGTATAAAATTGTATCAATGTCATAATAACTATAAGCAAATGTCTAGAGCACCTCACCTCCCCCTTGCATGAAGTGTCAAGAGCCCCCCCAACATTAGAAGTCAAGAGTCCCCCACCCTCCTTACTTTCTGCTGCTGCTGGGAAAAAGCTTGGGGGGTTGGGAAGCAGAAAGTGCAGGTTCTGGAGGAGGACCAGAGGAGGTCTGGAGTTAGCTGCCAGTTAGCTGCCAGAGTCTGGTGAATGTTTAAACCAGGGGAAGCTGAGAAGAGGGGGTGCTGTGGCTGCACAGAGAGGCACAGTATCTTTAGAAGGAGGTCTGACCTCCCCTCTGCTGCTGACATCTGGGGGGAGAGGTGCAGATACGAGCCTCTCTGCAACTGCACAGAGAAGCGCAGGATCTGGTGGAGTAAGTCTGTCCTCTCTGCTGCCGACTGCTGAGACAACATGGGGGCAGGTGCCGCAGCTGCAGGAGAGGCACGAGGGTCACATAAAATGGCTTGGTGGCCTGGATGGGCAGACCTTATGTTTGCTTGTGTGTTCTGTAGATCAATTACTGGTGCCATCAGAAACTGGTCATCATAGGTTATACTCACCAATATTTTCTTTTCTTTTGCAATTAAAAGCTAAAAATTGGTAAAATTGCTTTAAAACTGCCATGTGTGTGGCCAGCAGTAGGCTAGGAAGCTGCAGGACATTTCACTGATCTCAGATGAAACCATTAGAATATGCAATCTTGGAGATTTCAGTAAACTGCAGTCATGCTTCTTCTGGGTTCTTCCAAAGTCTTTGGTTTACCTGCAGGAAGATCACAGATACAGGTGATTGACAGGTAAACGGTCAGTTATTGCATAGATTTGCCATGATCCTTTATGCATTCCCATTCACATGATCAACTTCTGAAATACAATCTCATAATACACTGGCACTGACCTAACTAGGAAGTCTGTGATGACATTTGTATATATGAGCTTGGCATAATTCAATAGCAAATGACATTGAAGTAATTCCTTGTCCATTTGTTTGCCTTTTCTAACCACAGGGCATACAGCACCTCTGTACCGTTTCCATAACTCATTCTGCTTTGGACACACATTGAGGATCATTCAAGCCAAGTTTATTCTCCTAGAATATCCTGGAAACAAAGACTGCCAATTTTTTGTATGCCCAGTCAGCTGCAACAAAACAAAATCAGCAGTATGTGGCAGGGGCGGACTGACCATTTGGAAACTCGGGCACTGCCCGAGGGCCCGGGGTCAGTAGGGGGTCCCATGAGATGCCCCTGGTACCTTCTTCATAGGCTTTTTTGAGTTTGGGCAAGGACACAGGGGCCCCATGATCCCCTATTGCCCGGGGGCCCCATGAGTTTTCAGTCCGCCCCTGCTCACAGAGCCACGATAGTGTGAACCTAGCCTAACTGAACATTAAAAAAAGGAGCAGACTGATTAGCTTGTCTCTCTGTCACTCTGCTTTCTCCTCCTATCAGCATATTTTTTTTTTAGCACGTGAGCCCTGCAGCTCAGCTGATGCTGCTTCTCCCTCTTCATAGTCTGAGCTTTTCTGTAGAGTAAATTGCAAGAAGATG